TAAACCTTATTTTCAATAAGCAATCCTGAAAAATATTTGGGGGTGCTTAACTTTTTTCCAGGTGTGTATGTAATAGCCAGTTGTCAATTTTTATGTGTGTAACGCTCACATTATGAGTAATTTTAAAATTAAGTTGCACCATTCTTATTGATTTTTGGAGAGTGTATTTGAAAATTGTATATATTGTCTGAGTGTTTGATTGTTTTTCTTTTATGATGGGGGTGGGTTAGTGAACATAGCTCGCTGAAGGAAGGGCGGAGGCTCCATTTTTTATTTTTATAAAAGCACAATCCGTCATTTTTTGCGAGTTGGGGAAAGCTAGTAGTTACATAGTGATAAGTAGATTTGAAATATCTAGACAAATGAAAATACATAGGCAGCAAAAGAGGGAGAGATGAAATACATAAATAGTTGCAGAATAACTTAGGGTAAGAAGGAAAAGTTAAAGGTGATATATATGTGATAACGGAGCGATTTGAATTAATTGAGTAGAGAGAGAATAGAAACAATTATCGTAACTCAGCTGGAGAGGGAAATAATTGGATGCAAAGTACTTGGGATATAAAGGAAAAGCTAAAACAGGAAATGTAGAAAGTACTTGGGATATAAAGGAAGAGCTAAAACAGGAAATGTAGAAAGATTGGTTTTAGGAAAAAGAAATTGGAAATAAATGGTTACACTTAGAAAAACAACCAGGTAAATAAAGACATTAGGGCAGTGATTCTCAACCAGGGGTAAATTTACCACTTGGGGGTAAAAAATTACATGGCAGGGGGTAAATAATTGATGTACCTGATGATTGAATAATAATTCAATTAAATTTCATTTTGTAAAATGTGTGTGTGTCTGTGAGAGAGAGAGAGAGAGAGAATGCTAAGAATGTGTGTGTGTGTGTGAGAGAGAGAGAGAATGCTAAGAATGTGTGTGTGTGTGTGTGTGCTATTTTTGAGCAAAACCTGAATAATTATTTTTTTTTCTGACATTCTTGTTTTTCTGTCCCTTTATGATGGCTATGAATTTTTTGTATGGAAGTAAGGGGTAAATGGAGAACTACATCAAGCCGAGGGGGTTAATGATGGAGGAAAAGTTGAGAATCCCTGCATTACGGAACGAAATAAATAAAAAGGTGTTGTTAAATGAACCAATAAATTAGTAATAAGAAGGTCAGAAAGAGAATAAAAAAAGAACTGGCACAACGCAGATATTAGAGAAAAAAAGGAGAAATGAATTGTTACAGGCACCATTGAAAGTAACAGGAAACTGATTCTTTATGTGTAAAAACAAACAGAACGAGCGGAATGACTGTAAGTAAACAGAGACAGCTTTGGACAGGAAAGCAGCTTGAGAGAAATAGGAAAACAGTGTCTATAAAAATATCGATTACAAAAAATGTTGTAGGAGAGCCACTGAAGTGTTAAGATTGAGAGGAAACAGAAAACGATAGAGAAATAGAACAATTTGTGGAAAAAATTACTAAATTAAGACAATAAGATATGAATTTTATTCTGTTGTTTTCTATTTCAGGTGATGTTTCAGAAGATAACGTCGAAGACAAGTACGTAGAAAATAAAAACATTAATACAAGTTCATTACTTGTAGGTTTAACAACCTCGCATTTGCACTTTTGATAACAGCTTTCTTTGTGTCTAAAGGCACATAGAAATGTTTTGTTAGGGTTCTCAGAATATGGTGGTAATCTTAAACGAGCCATTATTCCTATATATAAATTTGCTTGTTTTTTTCATATTCATTAGTCTCCCAAATTGTACATTACTTAACAAAATACTTGCCGGAAATGTAATGTATTTTTTTTTGTCTTTTTTTTAATTCATAAGACATGCTCGTGTTTTTATATGAACTGTTTGGATGGATGTGTTAAAGCTGTTTATCTATGCATGGAAATAATCACAATCATACAATTTCTGGAATTATTTTCGTTGACATATTTTATCTAAAAATACTTTATTATTTGGGGTTTTGTTTAAAGTAATATAGTCATAAAGATTGTCCCCCCCCCCAGCAGCACAGCGGTATGTCTGCGGACTTACAACGCTAGAATCCGGGTTTCGATACCCGTGGTGGGCAGAGCACAGATTGTGTAGCTTTGTGCTTAATTACAAATAAAAAAACAACATAAAGATTAAATCTGTGGTATAGACTTTTTGTGACACATTGAAATGTTTCTAGCAGAATAGTGTACTATAGTAATTTATGATCAGTATTTTCTAGTGTTAGCAATATTAATGTTGCCCGGTGGGGCAGCGGTAAGTATTCGGACTTACAACGCTAAGTTCGGTGTCCGATTACCCCCTGTGGACACAACAGATAGCCAAGTGTGGCTTTGCTCTAACCAAACAAACAAATCACATAATTATTGTATTGACATAATGCTGCTTAAAATGTAATGTTAGCTTTTTAATAGACCTATGGTGTTTGTTAACTTTATATTCTGTAAACATTTTCAGTAATTTCTGGAAATTTAGCCTTTCATCATCTACAATATCGACTACTTATAATTCCAATGTATAGAAACTGTTGTTTTCAAATAACAGCAAAGAAATGCTTTAGAATCATTCTGGCTAAGCTGCAGATAAACATGAATTGTTTATACTTAATTATTTTTGATTCAGATTTTTCTTAATGTTTGATATCTGTACGGATGCTTTTAAGATCGTTATATGATCCACGGCTTATAAATATTTACAACACTAATTCAGACTGTTATTTTTATAATATCTAAGATATTAATGAATGCATGTCACAGGCAATGATATATCATTAATTTGATAATAAATCGAATCACCAATAGAACATGGCAAATTTTAATTAAGTTCATTGGTGTTAGCAGTTTTTATGTAGAATAAAAATATTAACAATCATATTCAATTCTTGGAAGATCATTTTAGAAGTCACTAATATAAAAGGATTATGTCACACTATTTCTTTAACTCAGATAGTATTAGGCTTAACTTAACAGAAACTTAATGACATGATTGCAAAATTGTTGATAAAATGTGTTTGCACACTAATACCCTCAGTGTCTTAGCACTAAAGTTCGAGTTTTGATGTCCGTGGTGGGCATAGCATTTTGTAGCTTTGCGCTCAACAAGAAACATACATAACTAATACTTGGAATATAAATTATTGTGGTGTTTGGTTGTGTTCACAAAAGAAACAATGTAGATTAAGTTTGTTCACTATTATGTTTATTATATTTTTTCTTGACGAGCTTGATATATCTTGACAGACAACATACAAGGCTTGAATAAAAATGAGTCAAAAGTTAGTTTGTAGTCCACTTATGTACTACAAAATACCATCTTCGGCTTTCTAAATAAACAAAAATGTAGGAGACTTAAAATTAGTAGTATGGCATCTTGTTTTATCAACCACTGTAATTATTGAATGCAAGATATAAAGATTAAATAACACAGAAACACGACGTAAGCGAATGCAAGTCGAAATTTATTTATTGAAATTTTATTCATTGTTTTTTAATGTAATGTGTGATCGACATATTATTCAGATACAGCACAATGTCCGAAGAAATGACCACAAACAAGAACGTGGATTCCAGTGATCCAGATCTTATCCCTTTGCGTGACTTTACAATGAGTAGGTTAAAGTTTTATTTCGATCAACACAGTTGTTTTTATGATACACAAAATATACTATACGTAGCGGTAAACGGACTTGTTCAAGTGAACATGGAATTTTACTGAAGAGCCTGATAAATGATAGATTGAAATTGCTTGTTAGAAAGAAAGAAAAGTGTACGAAATTACTAGAGTAAAAGGGTAGTCGAGAGAAATAACATATGTCAGTCAGGAAAATGATTGATAGGAGGTACGAAAGAAAGAAAGTTTAATGATGGAATTTAAGAAAATGCACTAGAAAGACATCATAACACAATGTAATATGTACTCGGTAAAATATTAGGAGATTTCTATTTACTGTCGTTATAGTTAATACATAAGATATGTGAATGAAATATCAAGCTTGAGGGGAAGAAAGCTCAGAAAGTATTTTTTTAGAACATATACATTGTTTAAAATGCCGTCACTGCAAATGTGATGGTAGAAAGAATGACAGATCAGAATATCTAAATTAATATCTCCATAATAATTCTAGTTCTTGATCTTATATGACTCTTTTAAATAGTCTGAGTAACTAATTTCTAGCTCTTAATTGCCTTGATTATCATCCAGTTACTAATTAAGTGAGTCATCAAAGAGTTTTAACGTATGGATCAAACAAAATCAAAATAAAGTTTTGATCATGTATATTATTGAGCTGTTTGTTAATCTATTTTGTATTTCCTCTTTTAGATTTGGAAAGAACCGATTTTACCAAGAAGAAAACACGATTTGTTGGCAAATATTCTTTTAATAATGGTATTATGCACTTTCATATGTGAATACAAATGCCCTTTTAATAATGGTATTATGCACTTTTCATCTGTGAATACAAATGCCCTTTTAATAATGGTATTATGTAATTTTTACCTGTGAATTCATATGGCCTTTTAATAATGGCATTATGGAATTTTCATCTGAGAATACAAATTCCCTTTTAATAGCGGTATTATGTAGTTTTCATCCGTGATACAAGTTATTGATTTTTTTTATTCTATGAATCAAATATAGCAAGCTCTTAAGATTGTTCGTGTTTATTAAAAGAACCTTACATTCTAGAGCGAGATATGTTAATAATCTCTCAGTTGGAGCCAAATAAACTCATAGCTCATAGAATGTGTAAAGTTAGAAAATATTCAAAAACGTAATATATATATATATATATATTAAAAACAAGTTACGTTGTCCAGACAGATCGATAGAAAAATTGTATTTTATATTTCGTCTTAAAGTTTTGATAATAATAATAATAATATTAAAAACACGCCGGCTTCCCAGCTATTTCATCGCTGACATGCTTAGGCAATACAATATAACTTTCAAAAAAAGCAGTACCACTTTTATTGAGTTGATTTCATACAAGTTTTTCTCTATATTTTCTACTTCGTTATACCTTGTGCTTTTCATAAAAATAAAAGTTTTCTTGCAGACAACAGAACATTATATCACGAAAAACGAAGAAAACACGATGAATACAGAGACACCATCTCTCCTGAAAGATTGCCACTGAAGAGCAGCAGATCTTTTAACGAGGTAAACTAATTTTAGTAGTCAATCTCGCAAAAATATATTTCTCTACTAGCAAAAGTTTTGACTCTGTTTTGGAAATCAGCAATAATGTAGAGTTTAAACAGATGTTATCACATTAAATATAAAACTGTTTGTTTGTTTTGTAATTAAGCACAAAGCTACACAATGAGCTATCTGTGCTCTGCCCACCACGGGTATCGAAACCCAGGTTCTAGCGTTGCAAGTCCACAAACATACCGCTGTGCCACTGGGGGGGGGGGGTGCAACTATAAAACCAGATTATTAAACGGAGTATATACCAACGGGAATAATTAAAGGGTCAACTTTTACAATCAGATATATCTTAATCCAAGTGAACAAGAAAGTTGAAATTCAACTGTATTTTATGATGATCATTTGTCCATTGCATTTCCCCTTTTAGATTATGAAAGAATGGATGTTACCAAGAAGAAAACACGATTTGTTGGCAAATGCCCTTTTAATAATGTTATTATGCACTTTTCATCTGAGAATACAAATGCCCTTTACTAGAATAGATATCTCTAGTTACATCCCCTGGAATATGAGTTCTCTCAAATTCGAAATATTCCGGTTTAGAACCTGACTGAATCAACATCTCCAAAAAGATCACATTTGGAAGAAATACATACTACTCAGTGACAAATGTTGGAAACGATGTTTTCACCCTCAGGGAATGCTTCTTGTCATTCTACTGATGTCACGAGGGATAATATCCCATCTTTTAGCCATTTCTCTGATGTCGCGTTGCTAGTTAAGACGTTGGCGTATATCGTGTCGAAATAAGTTCCAGTAGTATTCAATTGATTTAGATCAGGATTTCTTGATAGCATGTTAAGATCATGACAGTATAATAGCAGACATTATCTCGCATCATGATAAGGTCACAGAACGCTTTTACCTGTAGAAGGTCGTATAATTGGGTCTAATAACACATGAATACATCATTGAACAGTAAATCCGTCCCTTGGGAGGGTAGTAAGATTCGTGTGTCTCTTCATGCTGATAACTTCCAGCATCATAACTGAATTTCCCCTAAAAGCTCAGACTCAACAGTGCTGCAACGAGCATATCATTGATCTCAGGCTGTGATATGCTATTAAGTGTTAATACACAAAAAATCACTGTTTAGTTTTGGAGTTAAAAAGTATTTATAAGATCGACAGAATAGAAATAAAACAAGATTTGCTTGCTTCTTATGGTTTTCTACCCCATGTGTACCAGTGGCATCCCACAGTTCCTATAGTCTCCCTTAACACTACCCCTCCATAAAATGTTTTGACTTACGATGCTTGAAAAATGCTCATATTTGTCAGTGAGTCTCTACCCTTTTACTGTACACTACACGTTACTACATTTCAGTTAGTTTAATATTTGACAACATAGGAAATAAAACTAAAAGAAGAGTAAAAGTTCTGATTCTGTGTTTTAGCAGCTGGTCACCAAAGCCATTCGTTTTTCTGTTAAATTATATTACTTTGATAATTATAAAACCGGAAGTAGTTTTCACGCTATTACGTGTTCACTTTTTCAAGGACAGTGGCGGATTCTCGGATGAAGAACTACTATTTGAACCAGTAACCAGGTCTCCAACTGATAGTTCTCAACATAAACGTCAGCAGCTGAGGTCCTTGCAGTCTAAGCAATGGAGTGATGATGAAGACAGAAAGCAGATTGATCCTTCTGGTGCTCAGATTCATCGGAACACCAAAAACGTTGCTAAGTACCAGAGTGACAGGAAAAGATTATACAGAGAAGAGGGCCTCACTAATAAAACGTTACCAATCCTCCACAAGATGGACGCACCTCGAAAACAGCAAAGAAATTCCCGAAGGAATCCTAAAACAAAGAAAAGTTCTTCAGGAATTTTACAATAAAAGTTCGTTTACAATGTAAGTTGGTTTTCTATTAACTGAACAAGATGTTTAGATATCACAAATACCTAGTAGGTGTTGATCTAAAACAGTTACTTCTATCCAGAATTATCGGAGTTGAATATTACCTGCATTTCGGGACACAGATGCCTAAAACTGTTTCTTTGCTCTTGAAAAGAATGTTTGATGTCAGCGTTAGAAACAGTTTTAAAAGGAAACTTTACTAACTACAACAATTCTGTTTTGTGATGTTGTTCGGTTTTATTAAATTAAATGGAACTATAATTTGTAAATAACCGCAATGTGGCTAAACGACCAGATCAGACATCCCTAGAGTTCAAGTATAGCCGTTCCTAATTCTGAACTACCGATCAGAAAGTAGCACAAGTATCTGCCTTTTATATAATTTACTTTCTAGCAATGTATTTAATTTTTATTTCAATAAAATCCAAAAGATATAAATTAGATATGGTTAATTCATTAAAACCTGTATAATTAATGTATTAAAAAGGTAAAATGTAATACGTGTCTTTAGTATAGATAAATACTCTACTTATTACAAAAATGTTCGCGTCCGTTTTCACAGAAACGTTCTCCTCAATTCGGGGCTGTGGGTGCGTTATAAGAGTGACGAGCAAATCCCATTATTTGGTCAGAGTAGCCCAAGAGTTGGCGGTGGGTACTGTTGGGAACGGCATGTGTAGCTTTAGGCGAAAACTCTAAACAAATAAACGATTTCGGAAAGGTTAGATAAATATGTCTTACACGGAATGGCTAAATGTCTTCTAAGTTCCTTCGAGTTATGAAACATCTGTTGTAATAAATTTGCTTAACGTATAGCACCGAAACGCCAGGTGGTTATGGCACTCGACTCGCAATCTGAGGGTCGCGGGTTCGAATCTCTCTCACACCAAACATGCTCGCCCTTTCAGCCGTGGGGGCGTTTTAATGTGACGGTCAATCCCACTATTCGTTGGTAAAAGAGTAGCCCAAGAGTTGGCGGTGGGTGGTGATGACTAGCTGCCTTCCCTCTAGTCTTTCACTGCTCAGTTAGGAACGGCTAGCGCAAATAGCCCTCGTGTAGCTTTGCGCGAAATTCAAAAACAAACAAGCACCGAAACTGGCGAAGCGCGATCATACAGCAAATGTGATGAAACATCACAATATGACTGGAAATATGTTTAAACAGACATATCAACCAAACTTTATTGTAAGCCGGAGGCTTGAAATTCAGGACTGATGAGACAGACTAGGTAACCCATCGTATTTAATAAGTTAAAAATAAAATATCTTAATTATTTTGTGGTTTATTACAGTGCTTTATCTTATCTTTTTATTATTTCTTAGAGTTACAAAAACTATCATTTTCGTTTCTTTCATACTCGTTTGAAGACATAAATTCAGTTAAAGCATCAGTAAAACAATTACACGTACAATGATATACTTTAGTGTATTTTAATGGATAGCTATAAACGCTAAGTTTCGCTAAAGACTTTGAATAAATTGTTCAAAAATATTTTTAGCGTACAAATGTACAAATATTATGAGTGATTTTTCTCAAAAGGCGATTATAAACTTAAATATGAGAAAAAGTTCTAATAATGTTATATCCGAGAAAAGATTAACTTGAGTTGTTGAATAATTCTTCCATGGAATGAATTTCTAGTTGGTAATTTATTGAAATTTTTGTACTTCGAAATTATCTGGTTACTAAGCCTATTTAATTAAACCACTTTGATACTTTGATGTGTTCCGTATTACCTGTTCTCGCAGAGATATGAATCGGAAACTTTGTTCAAAACGAAAAATTCAAGTCTCGGAAATATTTTGTTCAACAAGATATTATATCAATATACGAAAATTTTTCCTTTTTTGCGATTCTTCTTCTTTTATGGAACTTAACAGAAGTCTTCTCTTGACTTTAGCATTACAAAGAATACATTTGTATAAATCAAATAAAAATGAGTTTGACATTTTAAAACTAGCTGTCTGATTATGTAGCATCTATTTGGGAAAATACATTAACTTTCATGCTGTTTGCCAATTTGCTAAACGTTTGTGATAGATTATTTATAAGCCTTGCCTTTAGCTTTTAACCTGCAACCTACTGTTAATTCTTTTTGTTATTGACTCCAAGGCTTTGCCATTTTGCGGGATGAAACAGTAAACCTGTATTTTCTCTTTTGTTTGACTTTAGATGAATTCTTGTCCCCATGGCAACTATAGGATGTCGACTCCGGTGTGAAGACAGCTTGTAATGTATCGAATACTGAATTACTTGAGATTTGTTGTAAAAAATGAAGAAACGCCAACATAACAAGAATACTTTAAAGTGGATGTAAATGCTTATGTTCATTTACAAGATATATATATATATATATAAAATATATAGATACTTACGTTGGAAATGTTCTTCAAAAGATTTGTTGTAGGTATAGTTGAAGCGTGAACTGTGATACCTCAAGCAAATAAAAAGAAAAGAAAACTCGATCATCAAAAACGACAATATTCTTGGTGAAAGTAAACTTGTTTTCAGCATGATCTTATCCATCAATAGGTTTGAACATCTTTGTCTGATAAATTTGATGGTTGTTTTGAAACAAATATCGGCTGTTCACGATGTAGTGTCGAGCGATTAATCGAAATTTTCATTAGATTTCGATTATTAAAAGAAACATCAAAATTGAACTTAAACGATTACTTTTATCTACATTTTGATTTTCGCCCTTTCAGCCGTGGGGATGTTATAATGTGGCGGTCAGTCCCACTATTCGTTGGTAAAAGAGTAGCCCAAGAGTTGGCGGTGGGTCGTGATGACTAGCTACCTTTCCTCTAGTCTTTCACTGCTGAATTACGGACGGCTAGCGCAGATAGCCCTCGTGTAGTTTTGCGCGAAATTCAAAACAAATAAACATTTTGATTTGATTAGTACACAAAAACGGAGTGCTGTTTATGTGTTCACTCACAAAGAAGCACTCAAATCCACTGCTCTCGTCATTATATTATCCCGCATATACAGGGGTTACAGAAAAAAACAATTAAACAAACATATTCATTCTCCTCAGTGTTGAACTGTGCACTAACAATACAGTGTGTTCAATAAATACATTAGGTTTGTTAACTTTCTTATGATACTCTTTCTTCGGTTATCTCTATTCCAGGCCATATCAGCGGGTCGGGTTAATTGATTATGTTTGATAAGAACTATGAGTACTTGCACATCAGGCCACTCTGGAATATGTACTTCTGGGGAACCAATGCAGGCACAAAGACATGTTCTCCAGTTTCAGGTCCCAAAATAATGTTGTTTGTTAGAAACAACGTGACAGTACTTCAGCATCCCCCCCCTTAATAAAAAACTTCTTAGTCAGTAATAGAAGGTAAGTGATAGCTTAAATATATAATATACAGACACACAAACTCTTTCACATTTAAAAAGCTAATTCGAAAATGTCAACAAGGCAGAGTAGCAAATTGCATTTATTTATCAATAAAAAATATAGGTTTTAAGACTACAATTCTTTATTGAACGACGTCTCGTATTAGTTACTTAGTTAATGGACATCAAGTCATCTATTCTTTTATTGTTATTTCTGTGCCTTTTTCCACATATGTTTCGAAAACTGATCTAGTTAACATAATCAATAATCGTAATCAGGGTTATTTATAAATATCGAATCGAATTGTAGAAGTGATACTTGCTTAGCACCATCATAAAAACGTTCTTGCATTATCCTTTATTGAAGTTATCCATAGAATGTTTATAATTATTCAAAGATACAATTGTGGAGCCAAAAACATGGATAAAAAAGCAAGTTAATTTCAAGACGATTTTAATACTTTTTATTTATAGAAATGTTCGAACATTACAATTCAGTGCTGCTAGTTAAGGACACTTAGTTCAATATTCACAGTTGATAGGTTTTTTAGAGTTATATATATATATTACAAAATATTTATGAATGTGTCTTATTATATATCCATAAATAATATCAAGCAATGAATTTCACACTTGTACATTACAAAACAAAATCACAAATTATATGTTTCAAAGCCCAAAATGCATTATTTAATGTTAACTTCTGATCAGAGCAAGCCATCTACTTAAAGCCAATCACAAAAATCAACCTGGTAATGAGCATAACCAATTAAATATACTTTTTTTACATTCTTACGCATAAAGATTAAAATACATTGCTTCTTCAGTTGGGTACTTCCAATGTTAACAATATTTTCGGCCATAAACCCAATAATATCTCACGAGGTTGGGCCATCTTAGGAGATTTAGTTTAGTCCTAAATATATGCATTAAGCTAACAATGCAAAACAATCTCTATAGTAAAAGTATCATAATAAAAATTAGAATTAAAAAGAATGAAATTAAATATTTTAAGTGATACTTTTAATGAAAGTAATAATAATAAAGAAATAACAAAGTAAATTTTACTTACGGGACACACACAAACACTAGGTGTTGACTTCAAATTCTGTCATAGAATTATAATAGATGTCAAATATATTAATGTCAGTTTTTGTTATAGTGATTTATATCTAAAAAGCTTACAGACTGTTAAAGAAGCTTTTCACTGGTTCTTAGACATTATTGGATTTTCCCATATTTGATTTCTAAATAGTTCATAATTACATCGAAACCATGTAGCTTTTTAAGGCAGATATTGTCAATCTTATAGAAAATAGAATTAGATATAAGTCGAGTACATTGTATCAAAATGAATTTGGAGCATCAGCACATTGCTGTAGTCCATGTCGTTATATCCGATCATGCTTTACCTGATGACCGTTTATATTTACAATAGTCCCACAGAGCAGTTTCCAATAGAAAAACATGTTCGTTGCATGTTTTGCACAATCCATCTAGTATGTGAGGACGACAGTTTTTCAGCGCCCGTTTCAGCAGTCCAATGTCACAGAGTGTATGAATATTTTGCGTCGGAAAGGACTGTTATATTTCTGGTGGCATCATACTGCCTACGATACGTCTA